TACAGGGCTTTCAAAAACCTCAACAAGTGGTACTGGGGCTGATGGTGCTTAGATGGGCTAGCCTGAGCTCACCACCTCTTCACAAATCAACACTCAGTAATCAAAACGTGATTATTTTTTGTACAAGCTGAACATTTTTGAAGTAATACTCATTTGAAGCATGGCAAAGAAAACATCTCACTTGTCATTGTAATGATGTCAAGCAAAATAGTTTAAAGTTGTGCATATCTGTAGCATTCGTTTAGTATATTGTTTTAAGTTTACATTAGAACTGAGGATCCAACAGATACTTGTCCTTCTATTTTGTAACGAAATATGTGCTTACTTATAATGTGCCTGATCCATTGTTTAAAAGTTTTGTCCTTCCCGTCTTAATTTCTGTCTTCAAATTAATTCTACTTGATGTCCTCAATTTGTTTTCACTATCTTTACTTTCTCCCTCTTTCCTTATGGGGTTAGGGTTACATGTTTTATATATTTTGTGTCAGTATTTCATAAAATATTTTTGTGCAAATTAATTTTAATTAGTTGAAAGCAAATTTTGGCCTCACTCTAAATTCCTTAAAAAAATAGCTATAATTTTTACACTCGCAGTTCATGTGACAGCATTGCATCATTTTGTTGGTTATGGGCTTTATTCACTGTTCTTTTTATTGTTTTGCTTTTGGTAGTTTTCATTTGTCTTCTTTAGTTGAGGGAATAGGTCAGTGAGTTTGATAATAAAAGTACTTTTCAGCTTAAAAAATATTCTTACAGCATAATAATAATTTAACTGTGTCAAAACACATAAATCGTGAAGCGCAAATCGCCAGAGAATGTTTTGTCATATCCTGGCTGCAGAATGGAAACTGACCAAGTTAAGCATGTACAAGTAAACATAACTTTCATCTTATTGTTCCTTAATACAGTTTGTTTTTATGTTATTGCACTTAAAATAATGATCTAATGAAAAGTTAAAAAGTTAATATGAACAATTATTGTCTATTCAGTTTTTTGCCGGGGGAAATGCCAGGACACGTTCTTACAACACAGTGGAAGACATGCATGCAATCCCACATTACAAGGAACCAAAATAAACCAGCTGACACCCCAGATACTTTATGATACTTTGTGTTTTTACGTTTGTAACAAGTAGGTACCTGAACGGTGACTGTATCAGTGGCGCATTGCCATATCATTTTTTTGGTAATCTGTTGTTTTAATTTTATTACACTTTGTTTCTCTGTTCATGAATGGTGCTAAACATAAATGCATCCCTAGCCTGTCTTGTAGCAGTACTTAAACATTTGAGCAACTGTAGACATTTTTCTGCCTAAATTGATGAAACGTGTGATCATTGGTCCTTCTGTGTAATATCTTAAACGAAAGAAATTTAATAAAAATCGTCAAACACCAATAGATTCCCAATAGATGTTGTTCTTTACACACCTTTACTGCACTCTACTGCATCCTAGTAGTGGGTGAATGTGTAAGATTTGAGTTATTGGGCAAGCAACTTTGTGCTGTATTCAATAGACCTCAACTAGGGATGATAATGAGCTTTCTGACAGAACGCCGTTTTATCAGTGTTACATGATCAAAAACAAATCCAGTTCAAGTTTCAACCGCAGTCCACCAAGCATATATAAAACTATAAAGGCATTTCCAATCAGGTAGGCCCATCTGATTGGATGGGCCTACATTGACAATACAAGACAATTTGTATTGTCTTGGGTGTTGATTGGGATGAGGATGTTGTCAGAAAGATTCAGATAGACACAGCCACTCTCCAAGCAGTCACCAATAGATGTGTTCCTTTCTTCTTCCTTCTCTGCAACTGGAGGTAAAGAAGGTAACATAAATATTCACTGAAGACCTGATTCTTTTTTTTTTTTTTTTTTTTTTTGTAAAACAGCAAGGAAGTGCATTTGCATCTTTTACAGATGTTGCTGGGCTGGGCATCTCCACCAACAACAAAATAATAATAACAATAATAGCTTTTTATTAGTGTAACAAATGATATGGCACATTATTGTGCAAACTGTCCTAGGAATATGAATAGTTGTAACATTTTAATCAATGAGCCATGAAGTCTAAATTAGATTAAGACAATATGCAACTACCAAGTAACTAGGAATAAAAAATAAGAGAGCTATGCAAATGGGACAAATCACCAATTACCCTAAACATACAGCCAAAGGGCTTGAAAGAAAGAAAGTCAATGTTTTAGAAAATGTGCATGACAGCGAGGAGACCTACCAACCTGGCTCTGTTATGCCCGTTCTGTTAGGAGGAATATGCTCCAAATCCAGCAAACAATTGTGAGAAGCTACAGGAAGGAAATCCAAAACATTTGCTCCAAGTCTTACAACTCAAAGACATTGCTAACAAATACAAAGGAAATGTCTTCAAAATCTCTGATTTTGAAGACATTAATTAACAAAAGCTCTGATATCTCATTGTTGTGGCATTTAGTAAATAGAAATAAGTTATGTATTTCCATCTAACTTAAAGCAAGAGACGTTTGGTCTTATCTTACTTTAGACAGTGAGGGAAAAAAGTCATATGTGTCTTTGTTAGGTGTATGTAAACTTCTGGTTTCAACTGTTTGTTGTTGAGAGACAAATAGAAGCTTTCAGCATCAAAAATATGATCTGAAAACTAAGTTTAAGTGTTAGTGTCAAAGTAAAAGCCTTAGTAGGTTTATAAATATAAGAAATGGAGAAGAAGACAGGATTTTTTTAAAACCTAGTCTGATTACAATAGCCAAGCGATTAACTCAGAAATATTTCAATGAACTTTTAAAACCTTAATGTGTTTGTCAGTTAATGATCAGTAAAAAAAAAAATAATAATAATAATAATAATAATACTCTCATTTTGTCGGGATGACGGCATTTGCTAAAGTGCAAGTGCAGGCCTGCATGCTCAGGGTTGCATAGCTCTTTGTACACAAAACATCGTTACGTGCCTGTTTTCATGGTGCAGAAACCACTTGTGTAAATCAAAACATCCCACAGTACATGAGAACGGCTAGAAAGCAATCTTGTCCAAACTTGATACTGAGGAACTGAAGCGATAATATTTAAATCAGGCA